ATAGAAAATGTTATATAGGTATAAATTTTACACACAATTAGAATAAAAATACAGTTAAGAGTATAAGATATTTTCTCTTACCTTCTCTTACCTTCGGATAGTATAGCCTGCGAGATTCGGAGGTCATGGGATCCATCAGTTTCACTAGCGTCTTGCGTCGTTTCATCGTCACCATCGTCAACGTACTCGATGATGGTACCATGAACAGCGTCATCATAAGTAATATCAATGCCGTTTTCATTCATATCGCAGGCGATATCTTTGTCGGTTCTCGCTATTTTATTACGACTAGCTAAAATTTAACTCGATATTAAACACGAGATTCTACAAGAGAATAATCTTATACTTTTTTTCCTTATACTCACGGACAGATTTCGTTGTCAAGGAAGCTTTATACTCGAGCGAGAGTGACTCTTTGGATTTCCGCTTCGTACAGTATTGGTGAGAATTGACAAAATGAAGAACACAAAAACGTATTCGTGAACACCAGCATTTATTAGACTTATTCTTTTATATCACATTACAGCGAAAAGAAATTACTTACAATGGGGAAAGGAGCCCTGAGCACGGTCACCGATATCTTCTTCATTCTCTCCGAGTAATCTTCTCGCTTCCACAATCTCGGTTGCGATTCCATGCAATCAAGAATCATTTTTAAATTGTCCGCAGGTGAATAACGTCGCCAGTAGACCACTGCTGCACATGGCCGCGAATTTATAAAACACTTCATATGTCTTCTCATCATTATCACTCGCGAGTTCGCACAGATATTTCCCACGTTTGATTACACAGGTCTACAAAAAATGGGATCATGATTGTTGTTGGGCAGCTGGGAGTCGTTTCTCAAGTAATTTTTTGCGTAGAATCCGAATCCGAGGTCAGAATTGGCCCATCACGTCAGGATTTTTTTAGATATTTGAGGTTATATACTCGAAAAATGGCTTTTTGGGCTACTTATGAGGTTATGTATAGGACGCACCAAATTTTTTAGCTCTTTTCTTCTAATTGCATCATTTAGTATTACTCTTTCCGTTCAAAATGAGCTGTCGAATGGTCATCTACGATTTTTCCTTACAAAGTTACGGCCATTTTAAGATAACATGATGAATTCCAAACCCTGCGCCATTATAGTCCAACAACGGCCTTAACCTCAAAAGTAGCCCAAGAAGCCATTTTTCGAGTATATAACCTCAAATATCTCAAAATCCTGACGTGATCGGCCAATTCTGACCTCGGATTCGGATTCTACGCAGAAAATTACTTGGGAAACGACCCCCAGCTGCCCAACAACAAAACCTTGTAGACTTGTGTTATTGGATTTGTTACCGACGCTGCGATTATACAGTCACGTACAATTTTGAAAAGCTGCGACATTTTATATTTTCACGAATATCACGGAATAGGAATGTTACTCGAAGCGATGGAAACAGTAAAATATGCCACAACAACTTCGAACACTCTTATATAACATGGATCTTCCAAAATTTTTGGGAAACCACCACGGATGCCTGTGTAAAATAAGATGGGACTAACTATACCAACGCTTTTCGACAATATACTTGTTTAGTTTTATCGCATTCAGTATCTGTTACAGGATCATATTATCCTTGCTATAAAAAGAATAAACTTCTTTCTTCTAATATCTATATCTCGCATCTTCAGACGTGAAAAATGCAAGTTCCGTGCTGTTCCATTAGGCCGTACATGAAAAACGTTTTGTAGAATTGTCTGTTTATCTAAATTTAGATGCGAGGACAGAAATATACCGGTTTTGACTAGGATAGGACTCCGGTTGGAAATTTTCACAAAAGAGATGTAAAGGGCATTTTCTCATCTACTGATTCGGCAAATATAATACCTATTCCTCCTAATATAAAACCTGTCGAAATCTGTAGGGCTCATGCATTCCGTTCAGCCACAAAAGAATGAACGTTATCGCTGCCACAAAAGAATAAACCTTCTTTCTTTTCGTTTTTATACCGTGTATTATAAATTTTCAGACGTGAAAAAATGTGTGCTCGACGCCATTCCTTTGCGCCCTACACAAAACGATTTGTAGAAATGTGTTTATCTAAACAAATTTATATGTGTAGATGGCCGATATAATCGGTTTTGACTAGAATAGAGTCCGATTAGAAATTTTCACAAAAAAGACCATAAATGTATTTTCTCATCCATTGCTTCGGTAAATATAATGCTCCCACGATATCATAAAACCTATAGGAACACGCATGTTCCGTTCTGAGAAATTTTAGAACGTTCTGGGCTGAATCATTTAACAAATATTAAGAAATAAATTTATTTGTTATATGCGCACGGAACTACCTCCTCTACTTTTCTTTTCCCTATAAGAAGCCCGTTGGACTGGGCCCAAATCATTTGAGCTTCTTCAACCTTAGTACTCATTTCGTTGTGACGAAGTATATTAGTTCTCATGTTTTCACCCGTGGAATAATAAGTTCTTGTGAGAAACATAATGACGAACACCAATATAAACGCTGAATTTAAGAAGATCGCGTATAGTGATTCTGGGAAGGCTCGCTATGAGAGCATTATGCTTCTCTCTACTACTTATCCCTTTAACACTTCGGATATCAAGAGGATGCAAATCAGATTGCAGGCATCAAACGACGGGACAACATTTGAGCTTACAATAAAATTATCCGTCAATACCTGTACAGGGATCCAGTTCGACTTCGCCATATAGGAAAAGTTTAAGGAGTACATGAAACATATACATGCGATTACTTGCACTCGGTAACTAGGATCATACTAAAGCCCGTCCATGTCAACGATATAACCATCACTTTTACCACGGCGTATGGAACAAGGGCGATCATGGTGATTGAAAATACGAAAATGGCAGAGGCGAACACCTCTTCAAAGAGGATGCCTACTGATTCATCCCAGGTACAGCAGCCATCGACGAAGAAACGAAAAGTCTACACGGTAAACATCGTGATGCAGACAATATCTTTTGATGGGCTAGAACTTATAACAAAATGTATTGACGCTCAATGTGAACAATTACAATCGTTTGCCAAACTTGTAAACGGTTCGTGCTCGGTTTCTCGTAACGGAGGTAGAACTTAGGCTTCCCAAAAAAACTTAGACGAGGATGTCGTGAAATAGACGCTCCTCGCAAACTATCAGGAAATCGAGTAAAATGTACGTCGGCAACTAAAAGATTTAACATTTTTAGATACTTACTTCCCCATTATATTTCAAAAAATTACTTCGATTTATTTAAATAAAATTGTATGAGCAATTATAATAAACGCCTCATTTTAATCATCACAAATAAAATGTGGATTAATTCTATGAAAAATATTGTGCATTCTTTTCTCTTCATCTTTTCTCTCTTCCCTGTGGTTTCCAGTTCGAGGTAACAAATCCTATTGTAAACTTTTCGAGTTCGAAAGCGTCGGGACCCACACAGGTAAAAATATTCGGGTAGACACAGACCAGAGGTATCGTCTTCCAACAATCGCTGGGTAGTTTTTGTCTTCAAAATTATCCTTACCCGCTCGAACATACTGGCGCACGCTCACGCGACTCAAGAGCAGGGGTCTCAAGTTCGAGTTGCGTATGACCTAGAAATTTTCAAATTTTTCGCGTCTGATGTCGATACTCTCCGTATGTATACAATATAGCTAGTTTCTATCAGAGTATAGCAGTAGCGTAGTGCATAAGACGCCTGACTCGAGAGCCAGCGGAACCAGGTTCGAATCCGGGCAGGGCCTTACAGAATTTTGCCAGAGAACTCACATGCGGCACTAAACCACACACACGCATGCAACACACACACACACACACACACATCTCTCTCCGTACGTCCTCCGTACGTGTACGTCGTGAAACCAGTTTCTACCAAAGAGTAGTAGTAGCAGTAGCGCCAGTGGTAAGGCGAGGATTGACTCAAGACCCCCTCTCCCGGGTTCGAGCATCGCAGAGTGCCTAGCAGATTTTTCAAAAAGTAATATGCAAATTAACCAGCTGACCAAGAGCTAGAATCACTATCTAATATGAATAATAAAAATTTGATATTTAGATTAAGCATAATTTTGGATTATGCTAATTTTTATTCCGGTGATTCAAATTTCCGCCATTCACTAGCTATGTCTATAATTTGTATATGTCGAAAATCAACCAATCAGATCTCGGGGGTAGGTATGGCCAGTCAAAAGATTTCCCCTCCACTCGATCTCCGGCGACGAGTGGGCGTGGTCTAATGGCGCCGGAAGTCGAATAGAGAGGGAATGACTGGCCATACCTACCCCTATACTACTCGCGTTTTTCTCAAAATCATGTTTTCAAAATAGGTCAGAAATATAACTTCTTCAATTTTCATCCAATTTATTTACTCGAAATTTGTGAAAGTATACTCGAAATTTGAAAAGTACACACGATTTTTAAGATTGGTCAACAATATTTTTATATATAAACAAATTAGGGCTGATTTTTCGGTCAAAATTGAAAATTTTTATTCAAACTGCTGCTATTTTGTGAAAAATTGATATTTTTTAATAATCGTGTGTACTTTTCTCGCAAATCTAATGTAGTTAATGTAGTTAATGAAAACTTTTTTTGTATTGTCCTAGGTGCTGATGCTCGTGACTTACATTTCCACTCGCGAAGGGCCACAAAAAAGCGTTTTCAGTCTACCTACCACTGAGATATTTTGTATTTAAAAAAAAAAGTTATTTTGTACACCTCGTGACATGTATAATAAACTATCCAAACCGTATTTTTGCCGCTTTATTAGTAGAGTCTAAAAAATTCCCAAAAAAGTCTTATATTAGGATAGGTCAAGCAGATGAAACCTTTTAAATTGTCTTAAATATTTTCGAAAAACATTCTGATATATTGAAATTATCCAAATTATCGAAATCTCTTCAAAGAATATCTTCAATATTTCCCTAGTTAACTTGATTATGACGGTATGGATTATTTTATGTATTTCTGTAATAATTAAATAATCGACCTTATTTGTCTTATAGTCTCTGGAATGGCGAAAAAAATGGGATGCCGATAATTTATCTGAGTGGGAACTTCCTCAAGTATTTAAAGATTATTTACCTTATGGATTAAGCGGATTCGATAAAGACGGTGCTCCAGGTAAAATTTAATTTTTACACTAAACTTTTCGCTATAAAATCGAAGTTTGTTGAATTTAGAAAATTAATTTTAAATCATCTCAAGTAATGTATCGTAGAACTTGAATATTGTTAACGTAATTGCTAATAAAAATCGCTAATAAAAAAAAGGTTTACCGATTTAATTTCATTGATTGGTTTAAAGGTAATGAATGTGTGAAATGCTATGTCATGCTCTAGACTTACTCAATGAAGTAGTAAATAACACAATGTATCAATAAGGTAGTAAATTCATATAAACACATTATATAAAGTAGTAAATACATATAAATACTAGAGTGCAAATTGCGCTTTCATTCCCGCCTGATCCCGCTTATAAGGCGCAGTCTCGAGAATCATGCTCCCGGGCAGTGATGCAAACTTTTGTCCCCGAGCAGCATGACGTAGGCGACGGCGTACGGCGGCGAGCGGCGGCCCGCGGCGGCGCATAGTGGGAGACAAATGGGTCTTTTTGTGGACAAAAATCGCTAGACGGCGTAATTCTTAACCGATTTCCATGCTTTTTTTTAATTTACTCGCGATTGCTTTATAATCGTATCGAGCCCGTTTTTTAAATTAGGCCATCAATTCAAAATGGCGGGCGCGCAAATTTGTCAAATGTATAAAACCTGTAAAATATCGAATATGTTTGGATCGGACAAAGTTTATACGGGCTTTTAAGGCCTCCGAGATACATATGTACGAGGGTCGTTCAATAAGTCCTTAGAAAATCCAAAAGATGGCGCTCGTAGTATCGAAAATGGTTTGTTTTTAGTAAGCATCATTACTCACTAGACAGCTGTTAAAGTCTCAGTTATATCCATCACATGGTTTCATTTTTATTGTCGATTGAAGCAACAAACTTTTCTTTATTTAGGAAAATGGAAAAAAGTGAGTTTCGAGTGATGATTAAACACTTATATTTAAAAGGCTTAACACCGAAAGAGATTAAAGCTGAGTTAAATGAAGTTCATGGCACATCTGCTCCTATGTTTGCAACTGTTTACAATTGGGTAAATGAGTTTAAACGTGGCCGTACATCCACAAAAGATGAACATCGTTCGGGACGTCCAGTGGAAGTGACTACCCCCGAAATAATTGACAAAATCCACGATATGGTTTTGAGTGATCGACGAATCAAAGTACGCGAAATAGTTGAGGCCACAGGTATATCGCAAGGTACAGTGTTTTCAATTTTGCACGAAAAATTGGGTGTGAAAAAAATCTCGGCAAGATGGGTGCTGCGTTTGCTCTCAGTGGAGAATAAACGCAATCGTGTGGTCGACTCTGAGGCTGTTTTGGCGCTTTTCCGTCGCAATACTGACGAGTTTCTGCGTCGATACATAACTGTGAACGAAACATGGATACACCACTACACTCCAGAGACAAAGGAACAGTCAAAACAGTGGGTTTTTGAAGACGAACGGGCTCCGAAGAAGGCGAAGACGGAAATCGGCCGGCAAGGTGATGGCCACGGTTTTTTGGGATGCACGCGGAATCATCTACACCGATTACTTGGAAAAAGGACAAACAATAACTGGAGAGTATTATGCGTCGTTATTGCACCAGTTGAGCGAAGAAATCAAGAAAAAACGTCCTCATTTGAAAAAGAAAAAGATCCTCTTTCATCAAGACAATGCACGAGTGCATACCTGCGCAGTTTCGATGGCCAAAATTATGGAATTAAAATTCGAATTATTACAACATCCTCCGTATTCACCGGGTTTGGCCCCCAGTGACTTTTTTTTATTTCCAAACTTGAAAAATTGGTTCGGCGAACAACGGTTCACGTCGAACGAGGAGATTATCGCCCAAACAGATGCCTATTTTGAGGATCTTCCGAAATCCTACTTTTTGGACGGCTTAAAAAAGTTGGAGAAACGCTTGGAAAAGTGTATAGAGCTAAAAGGAGATTATATTGAAAAATAAAAAAAAATCTACCCAAAATAATTTGTTTTTCTATTTTTTTCTAAGGACTTATTGAGTGACCCTCGTAAGATCGAAATTTCAATTTTTGCCAGTGGAGAGGATCTGCAATGGCCCGATATACTTTATACCTATCTGATATCCCCACATTATCAATGTATTCTACTAATGTGTTTGCGTATATATATACATATATATATATACATAATATATATATGTAACATATATTGCTCGATTATTTATGAATTCCATAGTTTAATGTAAAATGCTGATATAGATGACAGTATATCAAGTCAGTACTCAGATGAAAATAACGGATTAAAGTCAATCGTGTGAACTGGCTGTATTAATGATGGTAATACTTATCTCCTTTTATTCTGATGATTTCGTCATGTGCTAAAATGTTTAGTATATTTTTGTCTTTTTCGTAATTAAATAATACTTTGCAATATTATTTTTTATAATTTTGTATTATTTTTCATTGGCTACTTCTCGGGAGAAGTGCAAGAAGCAAGCAATAAGATTTTTAGAAAATCTCGTGCCCAACGTAGTAGAATGTAGTCGCGACAAACTACTAATGAAGATATTATGCAGTATCTTCTAATATCATCAGATCTGGTAACTAGTAGTCTAAGAATAACACCCAAAAAAGAAGAGAATGATTTATCTGCAGAAGCTAAAGAGTTATTACTTAATTGAAACAAAACAGCTTTATACGTAAAATGACAATTTTGTACATTTTGACAAAATGTTACAATAAATATAAGTAAGATATGTTATAAATATGCTATAATATAAGTTTGTTAAGATATATTATAGATATATATTGGGTCTGGGAAAAAGTTCGTGGCGTTTTTCCCGATAGATGGCGTCAATTGTAAATAACTCAGGAAACACAGATCGCAGCGACACCACTAGACGCTCGTTGGAAAGATGACACTTCGAGCGTTACTTTCAGTGTATAAACATCGAAATTGGTGCAGTGGTTGGAAAATTGTTTGCGTTTGAAAATGGAGAAAAGTAATGAAAAATTGCGCTATATTTTGCAATATTATTACGACAAAGGGAAAAATGTTGCGCGAGCTTGTGAAAAAATTTGTGTTGTATACGGTGAAGGTACTTTATCAAAATCTGCAGCGCGGAAATGGTTCGCTCGCTTTCGTTCTGGTAATTTTGATATGAAAGATGAGTCACGCTCTGGTCGTCCAATCACTGAAAAAGCTGATGAAATTCTTGAAAAAGTCCAGCAAAATAAGTATATCAGCAGTGTCGATATTGGTATGGAGCTAGGTATTGACCACAAAACTGTTTTGAACCATTTACATAAAGCTGGCTACAAAAAGAAGCTCGATGTATGGATTCCTCATGAGATGAGCGCGAAAAACATGATAGACCGAATTAACATCTGCGATGCGCTGCTGAAACGCAATGAAATCGAGTCATTTCTGAAACGTGTCATAGCCGGTGATGAAAAATGGATCACATACGACAATCGGAAGCGTCAAAGATCGTAGACAAGGGATGGTGAGCCGTCACAAGCGTTCGCGAAGCCAGGATTGACGCCGAAAAAGGTGATGCTGTGTGTGTGGTGGGACTGGAAGGGAATCGTCCATCATGAGCTACTTTCAGTTGGTCAGACGATTGATTCTCAACTCTACTGTGGACAACTAGAGAGATTACGCCAGGCAATTGAAAGAAAACGGCCCGAATTGAATAATAGGAAAGGTGTTGTCTTCCATCATGACAACACCCCACCACACACTTCTTTGATGACCCGTCAAAAATTGCGAGAGCTTGGTTGGGAAGTTTTGATGCATCCATAGTATCTGCATAGTAGCTGTATAGTCCATAGCATCCTCTGACTATCACTTGTTGCGATCTCTGCAGAACTCTCTCAATGAAATTAAGCTGGTTTCAAAAGAAGCCTGTGAAAACCACTTGATTCAGTTTTTCAATCAGAAACCACAGAAGTTCTTCACCGATGGCATCATGGCTCTACCCGAAAATGGCGAAACATTGTTGATAATAATGGAGCATATTTGGTTTAAATAAATTCATTTTCACACTATAAGAAAACCAGTTGAATTTTATTAGAAAAACGCCACGAACTTTTTCCCAGACCCAATATATACGCAAACTCATTAGTGGAATACATTGACAATATGGGGATATCAGGCAAGTATAAAATATATCGGGCCACTGCAGATCCTATCCACTGGCAAAAACTGAGAATTTCGATCTTACATATGTATCTTGGAGGCCTTAAAGGCCCGTATAAACTTTGTTCAATTAAAAAATATTCGATATTTTACAGGTTTTATACATTTGACAAATTTGCGCGTCCGCTATTTTGAATTCAGGGCCTAATTTAAAAAACGAGCTCGATACGATTGTAGAGTAATTCATCGCGAGTAAATTAAAAAAAAAGCATGGAAATCGGTTAAGAATTACGTCGTCTAGCGATTTTTGTCCACAAAAAGACCCATTTATCCCACTGTGCGGCGCGAGGTAACGCGTGGGGGACTAGGCAAGCGCCGACTATCCATTGTCTCTTTCTCGCTCGTCTAGCTTGCCGACTGTATGAGCCGCAAGATTTTTCTCGCTACGCCTATGCCTCTAATGCTGCGGAGTGACAAGGACATGTAAATGTTATTAAATTCTTTCATTTTTCTTCCAGCTTTTTAAAAGATACATTTTCCTGTCGTAACAGATGCGTTATCGCATGACAAGGCAAGAATATTCTCAAACGGAATCTGCAGTTAATACATTTCCGATCGAAATGCATTAAATAATTTGTCAGCACTACAATTTCTTGCATCTACATCAATCAATTTTACTAATTGCGACCGAGTATCTAAAGTGTTGGAATCAACATATCGAACAAAGAATATCATCCATTTATCGTTAGTTATATCTGATGTCTCGTCAATAAAAATGGAAAACTTAGTATTCTGAATGTTATTAACGATACGTTTTGTGTCTACCGGATATAAAACGTTCGAAATAATTTTTTGGCACTTGGTTTGACTAATAGTCATGCTTTTCAACACACTGGGA